ACTGGAATGACAGGGCCACGGCGTGGAATGACAGCCCCAGGGTGGAGCAGGAGTGTTCAGGAACTGGAATGACAGGGCCAACAGTGGAATGACAGCCCCAGGGTGGAGCTGGAGTGTTCAGGGACTGGAATGACAGGCCACGGAGTTGATTGACAGTCCCGGGGTGTGCCAGGAGTGTTCAGGAACTGGAATGACAGGCCACGGAGTTGATTGACAGTCCCGGGGTGTGCCAGGAGTGTTCAGGAACTGGAATGACAGGCCACGGAGTGGAATGACAGCCCCAGGGTGGAGCAGGAGTGTTCAGGGACTGGGATGACAGGCCACGGAGTGGAATGACAGCCCCAGGGTGTGCCAAGAGTGTTTAGGAACTGGAATGACAGGGCCACACAGTGGAATGACAGCCCCAGGGTGGAGCAGGAGTGTTCAGGAACTGGAATGACAGTTATAGTTTATTAAAATATTTTATTACACTATTTGGTTCAGAAATTTGTTTTTTCTGTTTTCCTCCTCTAAAAACTAGGTGCGTCTTGTGGTCAGGTGCGTCTTATGGAGCGAAAAATGTATGTTTTGAATAATAATTCATGTTTTGTACAGCACTTGGATCGGGCCCTTTATAGTGAGCTATCATAGGTGCTGGTCCACTTGTGGTTTTATTCTACTAGTAGGAACGTATAGAAGAATCTGCAACACGAGTGATGTTTTGGCCTCATCTGTAAAATATATGCTGTAGAACGTACTAGTAATGAGATGGACCTCCGTTACACATCTATCACAGATTTCTGTTGTGCGTGTGATCAACTGAGAAACAGTGTAATGGTTTCGGCACTAACAATAATTTTTCTTACTTAAGGCTTTCCTGGCATCAGTGGAGATGCGGGGTTTCTGGGACTTCCGGGATCTGATGGAACAAATGGGTTCCCTGGTAAGTCAGGTCCTCCTGGCTTGCCCGGTGCGAAGGGGCCGCCTGGTGAAGTGCTTGGAGCTGAGAGAGGACCTCAAGGGGAACCTGGGCAACCAGGGTTGCCGGGAGAGAAAGGCATGACTGGGAATCCTGGATTTCCTGGGCAGAAAGGTTAGTGTTGCTTCTTATAAGAGAAGTAGGGGGAAGAATCATGGCAAATAGATTTTATCTGCTGCTATTAGTAGACACGGGGATGTGGGATGGTCTAATACAGCCCCCTCTCATCAGACCTCAGAAGCTAAGTGGACTTGGTACTCGGATGGAAGACCATCAAGGAAGGCTCTGCAGAGGCAGGCAACGGCAAGCCACCTCTGCTTAATCACTTTGCCTTGAAAGCCCCTTGCTGGGGTCCCTGTAAATTCGCTGCACCTTGACAGCACTTTGCTCACACACATTAGTAGCCATGATAGCTAAATGGAGTTCCCATGTTCAAAGCCGCTGAGCACTGGTTGGGGGGGAGAAACACCGGGAGAGCCAGTTTGGTGTAGTGGTTCAGTGCGCGGACTCTAATCTGGAAGAACCGGGTTTGATTCCCCACTCCTCCACTTGCAGCTGCTGGATGACCTTGGGCAAGCCGTAGTTATGATAAGAGCTGTCCTTGAAAAGGAGCAGTTTCTGTCAAGAGCTCTCTCAGCCCCTCCTACCTCACAGGGTGTCTGTTGTGGGGAGGGGAAGGGAAAGGAGTTTGTAAGCCGCTCTGAGACACCTTTGGGTAGTGAAGGGCCATGGGGTATAAATCCAATCTCTTCTTTTTCTTCTTCTTCCTACCTTCCTGCCCTGCATGTGGGATTCCTGGGGGCGTCTGGTTGACCACTGTGGGGAACAGGATGGGGGAGTAGATGGCCCTTCTGATCCGATCCAGTAGGTCTTTTCCACTGCATGTACTATTTCTTCTTCTCTCCAGATGTGTGTTCGTCTGCCACCTGCAGACAGCGCCATACCTCTGTCGTAGTGGGCTGTATTCCGTGGATGCTTATGCCACAAGATAATTGATTGTTTTTCCGCAAAGAAAAGATGGTTCTTCTTCATAGTCTCTGTGCAGCCGCAGATACAAGCTCCACGCTTACACAGAGCATCTTTTCAAATTCCCTAGAGTGTGAACCTGATCGTTGGTACCAAAAGCCCCTTCTTCAAGGCGAACAAAACCAAACGTGCGTGCCTTGATGGGCAGCGTTAACACTCTCCTGAGCGATTCTGTTTCCGCCACCGCCAACATCTGTGTAGTTGAGAATGTTTGTTTTCTTCAACCGTCAGTTAGGCCTTACTCTTATTTCCCGTTTGATTATTGTATTTCCTACGCTCTGCACTGCTTCTGTGTTTCCAGGATCGGATGGAAGGCCAGGTCTGCCAGGTATCAAAGGAGGACGTGGAGAACCAGGTCCTCCAGGTACCGATGGACCAAGAGGACCTCCGGGGCCTGGAGGCCCGTATGGTATAAAAGGAATACCAGGTCCAGTGGGCACAGTCGGCTTGCCGGGAGCACCAGGTATGCAGTGTCCCAAGCACGAAGAACATACTGTTTTCCATCCACCTCCTTCAGGGGCAGAATCTCCTATGAGAGCCAGTTTGGTATAGTGGTGAAGTGCGCGGACTTTAATCTGGGAGAACCGGGTTTGATTCCCCACTCCTCCACTTGCAGCTGCTGGATGACCTTGGGCAAGCCGTAGTTCTGTCCAGGGGTCATTTTGTAAAAAAAGAGGTGCAGGAGCTCATTAGCATAACATTAACATAACTTATTTGCATATGCCACACACCCCTGACATCACCGGAAGTGTGTCAGAAGGCAACACCCACAGCTCAGGCTCCACTGGCCTCTTGGATTGCTAGCTATGGGTGGAGGGGATGCGCAGATCTGCCCTCACAGAGGAGGGAGAGCTTGTACCTGAATAAACCTTGGCCTTAAAGGTGCCACTGGACTCCTTTGGATTGCTATCGAGGGGTGGGGAGGCTCTGCAGCTTACCTGGCTGCTTCTTGCTCTGACTGAGGGCTGCTGGGAGCAGGGGGCGGGGCTTGTTGCATGTGCCCGCCCCCTGGGCTCTTTACTGCTGGAGCTCCGCTCCTGTGCGCTCCTGCAGGAAGTGACCCCTGGTTCTGTCAGAGCTGTTTTCTCAAGGACAGTTCTGGAAAGAGCTCTCTCAGCCCCACCCACCTCACAGGGTGTGTGTTGTGGGGAGGGGAAGGGAAAGGAGATTGTAAGCTGCTCTGAGACTCCAAGTGAAGGGTGGGGTATAAATCCAATCTCCTCCTCCTCCTCCTCCTCCAACTCGGCCAAGTTCATAGCACTGAACCTGGATATGAAGTCAAGACATCCAGTTATGGGATGGGGGGGGGAGGGCTCCCCCAGGCACTTCTGTTATCAAGAGACCGGGGGAACATCCTGAGTTGATCTTGGGACTCCCATCGGTTTCAGCAAGCTTGACGCTGAACCTGATTGCCCACAAAGTATGTTGAAGCATGCATCGGATCACCATCCAGAAACTACGAGTTGTTGAATTTGGCAACATGGACCGGACAGCCCGTTTGAGTTAGCTCCCGAAGGAAATGTTACCGCACCACTCTGAATGTTACTCTGCAGATGAGCACACCTGGAAACAATCCCGTTTTATTCATGGTCATCATTAGTGACTAACTTTCATTACCCATAATCATGCTCTAATCTCAGGACTTTCCCTGCAGGTAGACATCTGAACCTCGTTGCCCCATTGTCATTCCCTTTTCCATAAGTGCCTCCAACTTGGCCAAGTTCATAGCACTGAACCTGGACATGAAGTCAGGACATCCAGTTATGGGATGGGGGGGAGGGGTCCCCCAGGCACTTCTGTTATCAAGACACCGGGGGAACATCCTGATTTGATCTTGGGACTCCCATCGGTTTCAGCAAGGTTGACGCTGAACCTGATTGCCCACAAAGTATGTTAAAGCATGCATCGGATCACCATCCAGAAACTACTAGTTGTTGAATTTGGCAGCATGGACCAATTGACTTAGCTCCCAAGGGAAATGTTACCGCCTCACTCTGAATGTTACTCTACAGATGAGCACACCTGGAAACAATCCCATTTTATTCATGGTCATCATTCGTGACTAACTTTCATTACCCATAATCATGTTCTAATCTCAGCAGTTTCCCTGCAGCTAGAAATCTGAACATCGTTGTCCCATTGTCATTCCCTTTTCCATAAGTGCTGCTAAGTCTCTCTATCCTTCTGAGCCAGGGGTTCCCCAACAGGGCAGCTGTGGGCCCCATGGCACCTACCTTGGTACCCACTGAACTTTTCAGAAAGCGGGTGTGGTCATTCTAAGGCAGGTTTTGTTATTGGCTGCCTCCATTCCAATTAAAGAGGTTTCCCACCAGTGGAGGGCTGGTAAGCGCCAGGGCATTCCTTACTCAGGGTGTGGTGACATTCTCCCTTCCATTCAAAGGTAGGAGTCAGATTAGGACTTGTGGGTTTCGTTAGGAGCTCCCCTTTCCTTTCCCCCGTCCCTGACGTGTGAGCATGGCTTTGAATGGGGAGCCGGAGGTCACAGAGGGAGGGGGTGACTTGTCACAGCGCTGCCCTTCCCATGCAGCTGCCCGCCCACCCGCCCACATCTCTGACTGCATGTAGACTGTGCTCAACGGTTACGAGGTTCAGGGCTTTTTATTTTCCACATCATTCATTTTTTGCAGCCATATGCCTTTCTTCCTTGTTTCATACGTTTTTGTCTGTTTTCCCTCACCATGTTTTTCTCTTCCATTTACCACCAACCTCTCCATTTCTGATGTCACACTGTTTTGGTTTTGGGTTCTTCACAATAGGCTGTCAAGGTGAGAAAATGCATTGTAGCACAAAAGCGCCTGGACTAACCTCAACCACCTGGCTTTTAATGCTACAAGGATTGCATTGACTGTAGGTGATACCCCTTATATGAATCCCGCCGAGGACCCCGGTGCTGAACAGGCCCAGATGTTAGGCCAAATCCAACCCAGAAGAGGCTTTTCTGCTCTAGGAATCTGGCTGCTCCAGGCTGCTACTTCCATCCACATTTTCCTTGTTTTTTAAAAAAATATATATTATTTTGTGACTCAGGTGCTGAAATCAGGGTCTTACAGGCTTATCAGCCTGGTTTTGCTGCTTTCATGAGCAATTTTGCGAAAGCTAGCTTTTTAATATTTTAATTCGAAATGAATCTGAGCATTCTGTTTTCCAACGGTTTGAGACTTCAGCCCAGCAGACTAACCAGGTGTTCCAGATGTTCAGCTGGGAACAGCCTGAATAATTCAGAGGTTAATTCTGCACAGCTGGCTGCCAGTGTTAGCCACTGGCAAGCATCTCAGCTTCCCAGACTTTGGTTCCTGAATTATGATGGATCTGTGAGTGTTTCTCCCCCACCCCCACCCCCCAGTAATGTCCGGAGAGCAGAATGATAGGCGATGGGAAGTGTACCTTGTTTCATCATGCCTCTTCTCATCCTTGCCCCCACTCCCCCCCCCCAGTTATCCCCTTTGATGGGAACTGCAAATGGAAACGGTCGCTCTAGAGGCTTCCTTCCCCAGTTTCTGTTGTGACCCACCCAAATCTCCCTTACAGCGGCCAATCAAGGGGAATCCTAAATTATCCCGCGCATAAGGGGTTTCACTTTTCGCAGTTGTGTAGTGGTGTAGGCAGTAACCTCCTTAGGCCTTTTAATGGTTAGACAACTAATGCTTTTTAAAAATTATTTTGGCATATCTAAACTTGCGCTACTAGAAGCCTGCATGATTTTTGAGGTTTGTCTGCCATGAGCAATACAGTGCTCAGAATAGACAGCTTGGAAAAAAGGCTCAGAGAGAGCAGGGGGAGAGAGTGGAGGTGGCGACGCTGAAAGTTTTTGCTTGTCTTGGTTCAGGACTTCCTGGGGACAAAGGCCAACTTGGCGATCTGGGCCCACCTGGCCCTGCTGGCATGAAGGGGCTCCCTGGTCTTGAGGGTCTTCTGGGACGTCCTGGTGAAAGAGGGCTTCCTGGGCCACTTGGTCGTCTGGGCCCAGATGGGAATCCAGGTTTCCCTGGATCCAAAGGTAAGAAGCATTTAGTAGGGAGCGGGGAGCATCTGTGTTAACGAGAATTGTTTGTTTCGGTACACTTGGGAGTTCATAAAATGCTGTGTAAAAGTGCAGGACGAGTCCTGCTGGATCAGACCAAGGAACTGTCTCATTCAGTATCCAGTTGAACACCCCCAAGAAACTCACAAGCAGGGCAGGAAGGCAGTGGTCCCCCCTCCCCCCCACACACACATTGAACCCCACCATCGCTGGACGTTTTCCCGAGCTATGGTGGCAAATGGCAATTGACGAAAATGGTAGAAATCCCTTTAAAAATGAAATCAGATTTACAAAGTAATTCTCAAAGCGTTCGCTCTCCAGTGGCATAGGTGTCCACTGAAGGCACAAGGCAGCTAAATTTTTAGCACATTTTCATCCTGTTAACTTCAGTGCTTAACTCTGCTGTTGACGGTTTCACGGTGCTTCAACTTTGTTGGATTGTAGCCTTAGACATTTGGAAGCGCCTTTCCACAAAGTCAGGAACTTTCCCTTGCAGGAGGCGTTCCTTTGGTAGGAGTCTGTGTAGCAAAAGGCAGCCATAGGGTCCAATCAGGGTTGACAGGTGCCCTGTCCAGGTAGAGCTGTGCTAAGCCAGTGCTCTCTAGGTGTGAGTCAACCACGTCTAGTGAGGAGAGCTTAAATCATCTTTATTCAACTTCACACGCATTCAGAAGATCATGTACTCACAATCCTCCAGACAGCTGGGTGGAAAGTTACATCTTGTGATCTAAGCTAGTTCAATAGCTAGCCAGATCATTAAGGACCTTGCAGTAAGCGTTGATGAACAAAGAAAACAGAAAAGAACAATAAAATCCTAACTTTGCACCTCTGAGCTCAGGAGATTACTCTTAATGAGCCAATCAGAGGGAAGCTTCTGGGACCCCTAACTGTGGACTCCAATTCCCAGGTGCACAAGTCTTAAAGATACAGAGCAGTTTTACTAAACTACAGATAACGCTGACTGGGGGCAGCATACTCCCCGCCTGAAATCCTACAGGGTTTCACTACCCACATGCATAGCAATGAAGCTGTATAACTATAACTGGGCATAATTGGCATGCTACACTGCTAACTATGTGCTAGACAGAAGATTAAGGCATGCAAAACTTGATTAATCAGTCTTCGAGTCCTTCTATAACGCTGACTGTGGGCAGCATACCAGGTATCCCCTGGAAACTGGTGGGGACTTACAGGCAGCGAGGAGAGGCCTAGGTTGGTTATTTGGGTAAAAACTCTGTGGTAGAAGCCATTTTTACCATAGAGTTTCCCCCCCAAACATCAGGGTGTGCCACACTGCCGGCAATGCAATGATGTCACTTCCGACGTGCACCCTGGAAGTGATGCCGCTAGCCCAGGCCTCTCTTTGCTGCCCGCAGCGGGCCAGTTGATTGGTGGTGGTGGTGGGGGAAACCCTACCCCCAGCAGAGGCCAAGCAACCCTGAGTTAGCTCCATGGTGCACAAGTAGCTCGTGACAATTCACAAACGCTGCTTCTGCAACATCTGTCTGTATATCTTTAAATCAGCGTTTTTGCCCCGCTTCTCACCCACTCAAAACAACTTGCAGCCCGAAGAGCACAAAACAAACAACCGTTTTAATGAAAGTCATGCAGCCCAATCCAGTGATAAACCACAAAACGATCCTAAGCTGTTGCTGGATCTGCCACCACGGCTCGGACAGGGCTGTGGCTACAAGCCCCAGGCCAGGAGACCAAAACGTGCACCTCCGGCCCAAGCTCTAAATTACCTGCAGAGCCTACCTGCAAGAGTTTGCACTTACTCGTTTTGCCTTTCTTTCTTTTTTTAAAACTTCTACATGACAAAGAATAAAATAGAAAGAGGCACACACACTTCTTCCAGCCACGCTTGATTATATATGACTGGAAACAGCGTGAAGATGGTAAACGGTCGTTTCCTGTCATTCCGCTCCTTGTCCCAAAATTGCAAACCCACCCAAACAGGAAAGAGAGAGGACTTTTAACAAGGAAGACCAGAACCCACCTCAGACCATCATTTAGCCCTTTCCTGTCCCTTCCAACTAGCAGACAGGGCCAAAAGCAAAACTGAACACCGGGACCTCCTTATTTGGGTGGTGATATTGCAAACTGGAATTCCAAATAAAAAATTCTGGCATTGACAGCCTCTGAGTTTCGAACAGCCACTATACTTGATATTTGTTTCTTAACCTCCAATAAGAAAACAACTAAGAGAAATCATACAGAGCAGACTACTGTTGGAGCTGTGGTGGCTCAAGTGGTTAAGACTCTGAACTGCAGGCTGTGGAAGGTTGGTAGTTCAGCAGTTCGAGACCCAAGTGCGCCGCATGACGGAGTGAGCGCCCATCTCTCGTTCTAGCTCCTGCCAACCTAGCAGTTCGAAAGCAAGAAATTGCAAGTAGATAAATAGGAACCACTTCAGTGGGAAGGTAACAGCATTCCGTGTGCCTTGTTTAGGCATGCCGTCCACATGACCACGGAAATGTCTTTGGACAGCGCTGGCTTTTTGGCTTTGAAATGGAGATGAGCACCGCAACCCTAGAGTCGGACTCGACTGGCTTTCGAGCAAGGGAACCTTTACCTTTACTAGACTAGTGTTAGCAGTATTCCCAAATTTAATCTATTGGACACAGTCAGACTGCTACACGTAAGTTTTAAAGGGGGGGGGGAGTATGCTTGAAGAAAATGTGTAATGTTTCCAGACCTGAGCCTACACTGTCAATACAGCAGCAGCATCTTCTCTAGACCCAAGAATAGAGATGTGAAGGCCCGGAAAAAACCAGAACAATTCGGGGAAAAAATGTTTTTTTCCTGAAGCCTTTTTTGTTTTCCCCCGAAAAATTGAAAAAAGAAAAGAAAAGAAATTGATTATGGAATGTTTTATTTTAACATGATGAATAAAATATTTTAAGACAAGGTGTTCAAATATTTTCCAAATCATTTCTAAAAAATACGTATGGTATCAGATTGATCGAATTTCTGTGCACTGAGGACAAGCAAGTCCTAGGTTACCAAACGAACTCTCCAATGCAAGAACAAGATGCATTTCTTCCTTTAGGAGGTGCTATTGTCACAAGAAAAGAAAAAGGTTTCAGTTTTGTTTTTGCATGCGGGTGGGTATTCTGTTTGTAATAATTGTTGGGATACACTATATTTTAATATGCTAGTTGTGATAATTTCATGCCAAGGAAAAATGTCCATAGTCATATTTTATGTTCCTAAAGTAACAGAATGACTTTCAATCTGGAAAAGAAAAGAAAAAGTGCTAATGTAGCATTTTTTTCCAATTTTTCCAAAAATTTCCGTTTCCCCGGGGGAAAAATGGGGAAAAAATGGGGTTTTTTTCCGAGCTTCAAAATTCCTGGAAATTTTACATCTCTACCCAAGAGGGATAGGTCTGGCCAAAGGTCCCCATTGCGGTCCGCCAGCTGGTTGTATGGGATACACAGACTTCAGACCAGTCTCCAGTAGCTCCCCAGAAAGATTATTTGTGGAAACTACATTGTGGGACAAGATGTCTGTCTAGTTTCGACTGCATACAAAACTCCTTCCTTTTTTCTTTGCCACCAGGTGAAAAAGGTTCACCGGGCTTGCTCGGTTTCCCTGGCATGCCAGGCCTGCCTGGGATCTCTGGTGCGAGCGGGGTGAAAGGAATATCCGGTATACCAGGAGCAGACGGAATAACTGGCTTTCCTGGGGCCCAGGGCCGGAAAGGTAGGTCCAGTCAAAGTTCAACAGCTGGCAGGCTCAGAGACAAGCACTCCTTTCGTACAGCTGTGGTTGCAGATGGGGTGGCCTGCAGTTTTGTCTCCAGAACAATATGGCAGGAGCAAGGGAAGTTTCTGATCAATGTGGAATGCACTGCATAATGTCTTTCCTGTAAATTCATCAGGAGACAGAGGCGATCGTGGTCCCCCTGGTCGACCCGGCAGACCTCCAGAAACAGTCATCATGGCTAAAGGAGACAGAGGAGATCCCGGATCCATAGGGCTTGGTGGATTTCCAGGGCCTCGAGGTACCCATTGGTTCTAAAATAATACAATCCTATGATTTCCCCTGCTTGCGCATGAGTTAACTGGTTAGACATTCTTCTTCTTATTTATATCCCACTGCCTTTTAACTATGGACCTCACAGAGAACAGAGATTCCTAGGAGGTCTTCCAGACAGACCCAAAGTGGCTGAACTTCAGCAAGGTGGGCTGTATCATGGTCTTTCCCTGCCACACCCTGGCCTGTTAATAAACCCCACAGCCTTCTGGTCCTGCCACGCATGAGATGAACCCCACAAGTAGCTGTAGTACTTCCTGTAGTCTCATTCCTTTCCTTTTGTTGTTACTCTCCTCTGGCCAGAGGTCTTGAGCAAAGTCAAACTGTAGCAAGAGATTCCTTCCTGCATCCAGTGAGAGAATCTGAACGGGGCACTTTTTTGCAGCTCCACCTGCACAGAGTTCTCCTGGATTTATCTTATTAAAGACTGATTAACAGCCTTTAATTCCGATAATACAAAAGAAGAAGGGGTGAGTACAGTTTTTGAATGCAGCCGGCAAACTGGACAGAATGACTGCAGGAAAACTTTTATCTTTTATTGAGATATAAGAAGTCTTCAATCTTTATTGCGGCAGGAGCCAGTAAAACAGTACAATTCTGATATAAAAGGGATTAAAACAGTAATAACATGGGAATAATATAAAAACATTAACAGGAGAGAGTTAATAACGTTAGTAAAGTAAAATAGTGTTAATAAGAGAATCATACAATTTTTTCCAGCTAAAATAAGTTTGCATTTCCTAATAGCTAAGCAACAAAATTTTGCCACAGTATAAGTCACTGAGCTCTGAACGTCTTCTGATATAAGAAGTTTGTTTCTTCGGTGAGCTAGACAGAGCAATAAATGCTAACATTATCAAAGGACCTAGCATAGCTTTTTAGCAAGTAATAGTTTTAAAAGCAAATCAGTTTTCAGCTGTTTGTCTCACTGCTTTTAGGGATAACCAAAAAGCCCAAGTTACCCACCAAGCAATCTCACCTATTCGCCTTCTGTGACTTCCATGCAGAAAAATCTGATTTGCTTGTAACAAGCGTGCTTATTTATAGAAAAATATCAGTTCTTATTGCTAAATCTTGTCTTTCATAATCATGTCATATTATTTGGATAACCGGTTGGTTCATAACTAATCAGAGATAAGCAATATGAGTGTTGATTAATTAGCATAATCATGTTCTATTATCTAGATTACTGATTGGTTCTTAACTAGATAAGCAACATATGAGCTAATCTGTAGGTGCACGTGAGATACTTCTGGTAAAGCAAGATAAGAAGGCCAATCTCAACTTTTAGTCAACTTCTTTCTGTAACTAGTTCAGTTGTCTAGGATGAAAATCTTTTGAAGCAAACAGAGTTCATGGACAGTGACAAAGTGCTTGAGCTCTTGACTAGTTCGCAGACTCAGCAAGAAAAAGCTTAGTGATAGATCATAGCTTCTGCTATAAAATCTCATACAAAATAAAGTACAAAGCAGTAAATGTTAAAGTACACCTTGGCAAATTAAAATCCATCTCTGTCATGGTATAAATAGGAGCTGCGGTGGTTCAGTGATTAAGACGCTGAACTGCAGACTGGAAGGTCGGTAGTTCAGCAGTTCGAGACCCAGGTGCCGCATGACGGAGTGAGCTCCCGTCTCTAGTTCCAGCTCCTGCCAACCTAGCAGTTCAAAAGCAAGAAATTGCAAGTAAATAAATAGTTACCAATTCGGTGGGAAGGTAACAGCATTCCGTGCACCTCGGCATCTAGTCATGCTGGCTACATGACCACAGAAACGTCTTCAGACAGCACTGACTCTTCGGCTTGGAAACGGAGATGAGCACCGCAACCCTAGAGTCGGATTCGACTGGTTTTCAAGCAAGGGAAACCTTAATGGCATAAAGCCACAAGTGCTAAGAACTTGGCAACTTGAACGTGTTGTTCCCGAGTGGTGTCCGCCAACAAAAAAAGAGATCAATTATGATTTGTCAGGCAGCTGATATTTACTCAGGATTGGTATAATTTAGAGGTGCCTGAGTGGCGTCCACTGATCCCAGAATGAGACAAGGCGATCTATGGTCCCTATTATGCCAGATACACAGCTCAGAATACGGAGTCTTGGTGAAGCACCCCGCGAGCTCTGCAGTTGCCAGGACATTCAGCTTACCTTACATAAAGGCGCACCTCTGGCCAGGAGTTGTAACGAGGCTTAAATACTGGGGGGGGGGGATCAGAGAAGGCGGAATTCCCATTGCAAAAGTGGAGCATGCATGCCTTTCACGGGCCAGTATGCCGGTGTGGTCAAACGTGATACCCCTTTTTCTAACCAACTTTATGTCAGGTCCCCACAGCAACCAACGTAGTACACACTTGCAAGAAGGTTTTACTTTATTGAAACCATGAAGCACTTGAACAGGGTCACTGTTCAGAATAACAATAGCTCGGAGAGCTGGAAAGGTGAAAGCAAATTCATAAACATTACAGCCAATAAACATGGTTCCCGCGTGCGGCCAAAGGGTTTCTTGCGCGCCTAAACCTTGGGAAAACAACGGCTACCTTATTATAAATAAGCATGCGATTCTCACAATCTCTACTAATTAAAGACAAAGCAAAGCTCTCTTGCTCTTCCACCTGTGGCCTTGGCTAGATAACGTTACATCAAAGCATGGCTGGCGTATACTGAAAGGAATGCAGAGCTACTGGGGAGATGTGCACATGACAAGCTGAGCGCATCTACGAAGGGGGGGACAAGATGCATAGAGGAACATATAGACAAGAATGAACTTTTGGCAGCTTGCTGACACTTTACAACTTCTGAATAGCCCATCTCCCTAGTCACAGCAGGAGAGCCAACTAATGAACTCTCTCTGTCCTCATCCTCTTTAGAGGGAGGAGCATCAGACCATACCCTATGACATTAACACGTGCCTTTCTCTTTGGTGTAAACGTAGGGGACAGAGGACTCCCTGGGCCTCGTGGGCAGCCAGGCCTTCTGGGAATCCCGGGGCTACCAAGCAGAGAGCAAGGACAGAGGGGAGACACAGGCCCCCCAGGAACACTTGGCTACCCTGGCACTGCAGGGCAGAAGGGAGCTGCCGGCATCGTGGGGTTTCCAGGCATGCCAGGAGAAAGTGTGAGTATGTCGTTCTCACCGTATGTGATGAGCTTAAGTTCGATCCCTTTGGCTGTTTGCATCCCCGCCAAGAATGAGAAAAACTGGAAACCCGTTTATTAAAAAAAAACAACAACAAGAAGCTAGGAAAAAAATAACTGTGAAGACCAATGTTCCCTGTAAGCTGTAGAGCCTTGTGAGCAAAAATTCTACTTTGTGAGCTGCTGGCATTAAAGTTGTGAGCAAGCAACTTGCCTACGGCATAAATTAGTTTGTTCTGGAGCCCTCCTTCCTGAGCCAAGACAAAAATGTGTGAGCTGGAAGCTAAAAAACTGTGAGCTAGCTCACACCAACTCAGCTCAGAGGGAACACTGGTGAAGACAAAAAAGGGTTGTGTTGTTACAATATGATTAGAGTAGGGCAGGGAGCTGTCCTGTTGGCGGCAGAGGATAGGAGGACTTACAGTAATGGGTTTAAATTAAGGGCGGGAAAGTACCGGCTGGATATTAGGAAAAACTTTCTGACAGTCAGAGTTGTGCCACAGTGGAATCAGCTGCTTAGGGAGGTGGTGAGCTCCCCCTCCCGGGCAGTCTTCAAGCAGCGGCTGGACAAACCCTGGTCAGGGATGCTCTCTAGGCCGATCCTGCATTGAGCAGGGAGTTGGAATCGGTGGCCTGTTTGGCCCCTTCCAACGCTGTGATTGTATGTTTATATGATTCTAAGTTTAATTCTCGGTATAAGCTTTCACGCGCATGCACTTCGTTGGTCTTCAAGGTGCCACTGGACTCAAACTTTGTTCTACCACGAGGACTTCCAACCATTTTGGACTCACCCTTCAGGGGTCCCAAGCCACGTCAAGCCCCTGCAGAGAGGTTCAAAGGAGTTTCCACTGGGCACTCATAAATGGCGGCAGGGGTCCTTTCGTAGAAAAAGAGGTGCAGGAGCTCATTAGCACAACTCATTTGCATAACTTATTTGCATAGGCCACACCCCCTGACATCACCGGAAGTGTGTCAGAAGGCAACACCCACCGCTCAGGCTCCATTGGACTGGGGGGCTGGGGGGGGGCTCTGCAGCTTACCTGGCTGCTTCTTGCTCTGACTGAGGGCTGCTGGGAGCAGGGGGCGGGGCTTGTTGCATATGCCCGCCCCCTGGGCTCTTTACTGCCGGAGCTCCGCTCCTGTGCGCTCCTGCAGGAAATGACCCCTGAATGGTGGCAAGGCAGACTTGGGGACCCCGTCAGCCTCTGGTTTGTCCCTTAGATTCTCTCTGTTGTTTTGCTTTTGCATGCCTTATTTTCCACTCCTTCCCCAGGGAGCTGAGGGCTCACCAGGGCCTCCTGGATTCCCAGGGACAGTGGGGTTGCGCGGCCCAAAAGGTAAGTTGCTAGTGTGATTTTTGATGTATCCTTTCTAGAGCGCAAATCACAGTCAGAGACACAGTGGAAGAGAGCTACTGGGAAATAGCTCAACAAAGCCGTCTATGGGTTTTACTTTGGGCGGGGGGGAAGATGACTCCAGGAAAGGAGCAGTGGGGTTATAATTCGGAATGATTAACGATACGGAGAACAGATCAGGAGAAGTTTCTTTCTCTCCCCCCCCCCTTCCACTATTATGAGAGCTCCGGCTCACCCAGTGAAGCTCAGCAGATAGGTTCAGGGCAGACGTGATGAAGTAGTCCCTCACACCTAATGCTCATAGGGGACCACAGGTGCGGGTCCTGGGAACGAGGGCCGGTGGATTGGCTGGTTCTTAAAAAGGATTCGGTAGATCTGAGGAGGCTAGAGGCTTTGGCTGCCGTTGGCCAGGAGAGCTGAGGGGGATTTGTGTGTGCCAAGTCATGGAAGAGACCGGGATGGCTGGCGTGGCCGTGGCTTCTGTCTGGAACCGGCTGCTGGCTGTGGAGCAGAGTCGGTGTCAGGCAAATTGTGCCTTCTTTAGCGAGCTGGTGTAATGCAGCAGCTAAGAGACTTGCGTCAGGTACGGGTAGAGATGTGAAGGCCCGGAAAAAAACAGGAAAAAATCGGAAAACGTTTTTTCCCCGTTTTTTTCCTGAAGCCTTTTTGTTTTTTTTCCGAAAAATTGGAAAAATTGAGAAAAGAAAAGAAAGGAAATTGATTATGGAACGTTTTATTTTGATGAATAAAATATTTTAAGACAAGGTGTTCAAATATTTTCCAAATCATTTCTAAAATATATATGTATGGTATCAGATTGATCTAATTTCTGAGCACTGAGGACAAGCCAGTCCTAGGTTACAAACTGAACTCTCCAATGTAAGAACAAGATGCATTTCTGTGCACTGAGGACAAGCAAGTCCTAGGTTACAAACTGAACTCTCCAATGCAAGAACAAGATGCATTTCTTCCTTTAGGAGGTGCGATTGTCAGAAGAAAATAAAAAAGTTTCAGTTTTGTTTTTGCATGTGGGTGGGTATTCTGTAATAATTGTTTGGATACACTATATTTTTAATATGCTAGTTGTGATAATTTCATGCCAAGTAAAAATGTCCATAGTCATATTTTATGTTCCTAAAGTAACAGAATGACTTTCAATCTAGAAAAGACAAAAGAAATGCTAATGTAGCATTTTTTTCAATTTTTCCGAAAATTTCCGTTTCCCCCCCCAAAAAACCGGGTTTTTTTCCGAGCTTCAAAATTTCCGGAAATTTTACATCTCTAGATACGACTAGTGTGCTTGCCAAATGAATTAATATTATATAGGTATTTCAACGCTACCCAAGTCCTTATAATACTTATCCCTAGGAATACCCTCGTGTAATGTAACATCTTTTTTCAATTTTTCCAAAAATTTCCATTTCCCCCCGAAAAAAACCGGGAAAAACCCAGGTTTCCGGAAATTTTACATCTCTAGGTACGGGTCCCCCATGCAGACCCAAAGCTGGGCAAATACCTCCCTACCAAAGATGTCTTGGCTTGGGACAACAGTGGAGGGGAGAGGCCATGTGCCAAATCAGGTTCCCTTCGGCTTTTGAAATTACGTTTGCTGCAGCTGCTGTGTGCTGTTCCCTAGAGCTGGCTTGCTGACAAATCATATCCTGCGGTTTGGCCCTGAACTATGAGATGGGGAGTTCCCAGAGCCACACTCCTCTCTGCCAGAAGCACTTTAGGTAGCCCTGCATTTAGGAGGAGGATCAGGAGAGGGAGGGCAGGAAGGGGATCAGCTCTTGTGCTTCGCTCTTGTGGCCTTTTTTTTACATCTGCTCCCTCTAAGCCATGGAGTCCTGTGAGCAAAAATTCTACTTTGTGAGCTTCCACATTAAAGTTGTGAGCAGGCGGGTGATTTGGCAACTGCATAAATTAGTTTGCTCTGGACTGGAGCCACTCTTCCTGAGCTAAGACAAAAATGGGTGAGCCGGAGGGTAAAAGACTGTGAGCTAGCTCACAGTAACTCATCTTAGAGGGAACACATGGCCATGGTAATGCCGATCGCCAGCTTTAGCACTAGAAGAGAAGCAAGTTCCCTCTCCTGCTTCCGAACGGATGCTTATTTAGCACTTCTGTGTCCCTCCCAGAAATGATATTCAGAGTTCTGTGACTGGAAGGCCAGATCTGTTTTTTGGCCTAAAGAAGCTTCAAAGGGAGTGAGGGGAAAGGAGCTGCAGTTGGCACAGGGGCCATGGCAATGGGGAAGGGTGCAGGTGAACTCCCCGCTGCCGCATTCATGTGTTCCTTCCCAGGTTGGAAAGGTCCCTTCCCCAAACTGCGTTCAAGCCCAATGGAGGAAAGACAGGTTGTGTACTGTATCCATTTTAGCAGCTGGGGAAGAAGGATTCCTCTACTGGGCAGGGTGCAGGAGGGTCCCATAAGGGCTACAGCCTACGTGTGAAGATTTGTCCATGTTACTTTTGCGCTGTCTTGCCCAAGGAGCTCTTTCTGAAGTGGGGGAAATCTCTCTCTTCCAGGTGACCGAGGGGAGACATTTGGCTTCCCCGGGGCTGTGGGACCTAAAGGTCAACGAGGGGACCCCGGGCTTCATGGTAAGAGACCACCGGTGGCCGCAGAAGGCTTCCGGGAGGGAAGGGCTCCTGGAGCTGTCTTGACTTCACCCTTGTGGATGCAATAAGAGAGAAATAGAAACAGTTGAGCATGTACTTTTACGTTGTAATTTGCTAAACGACATTCGAGCGAAATTTCTGGAAGCCCCCCTTAGCCAGGTAGCATGCCAACCGGACGGAAGCAAGCTGCACTACCTCCTTACTTCTCGAGATTCGGAGATTATTGAATTGACTGCCAAGTTCTTTTATGGTCTTATAAAACGGAAAAATGTCCCTGATCATTCTAATTGAGTTCAATGAGTTTGTATAATTTAATTCAAGGTTTTGCAGTTGGGCAACATTTTATCTTGCTATAACCTAAGCTTATATAAATAGACATACCTTTGTAATGCTTTTAGAAGTTACTTATTTTCCACAAATTTTATAGGATTGTTTTACCCTAATGGCAACTGTTTAATATTTTATGCCAATAAAAGGTATTTGTTTGTTTGTTTGTTTGACTTCACCCTTGTAATTTTTTTGCCAGAACCCAAATACTGTTTGAGACCCACCCCCACGCCTGAGGAGTTATAGAACAAATTAGATTTTGTCATGGGCCAGACTCTTTGAGTGAGGGTTGCCATTCTCCAGGTGGGACCTGGCAGTCCCCTGGAATGACAGCGGCTCTGCAGACTGTAGAGATCAGCTTCCCTGGAGGAAATGGCTCTTTGGAGGGCGGACTCTATGGCATTGTACTCAGCGGAGATCCCTCCCTTCCTAGGGTTGCCATTTGCCCAGTGGTGGGGGATTCCCCGGTTTTGTGGGCTCTTTCCTGCCTCCGGTCAGCTGGCAGGCAGGAGGGAATCTGCCCCCCCCCCAAAAAAAACAGTGATGCGTCACCTGGAAGTGACGTTATGTCAGCGACGTTGGGAGTGACGCTCTGGATTTTGGGCAAAACTCTATGGGTTGATGCCGATTTTACCATAGAGTTTTGTCCAAAATCCAGAGCATTGCCCCCAATGTCACCGACGTATTTTGTGGGCTCCTTCCCGCGTCCGGTCAGCTGGCAGGCAGGAGGGAACCCCCCCCCCAAAAAACCAGTGATGTCGCATACAGTGTGCCTGCGTCTCCTGGAAGTGACGTTATATCAGCGATGTTGGGAGTGATGCTCTGGATTTTGGGCAAAACTCTATGGGCTGATGCCGATTTTACCATAGAGTTTTGCCCAAAATCCAGAGCGTTGCCCCTGATGTCCCCGATGTGCTGACATCACTTCAGTTGACGCAGGCACATCACTTGCCGGTTTCGGGGGGAATGGGCGGTGAGTCCAAGGCTCCCTCTAAGCTGCGGAGTCCTGTGAGCAAAAATTCTACTTGGTGAGCTCCTGGCATTAAAGTTGTGAGCAGGTGATTTGGCTACTGCATCAGTTAGTTTGCTCTGGAGCCCTCCTTCCTGAGCAAAGACAAAAATCTGTGAGCCGGAGGCTAAAAAACTGTGAGTTGACGCAGGCACATCACTTGCCGGCTTCGGGGGGAATGGGCGGTGACATCACTTCCCCCTCCCGGAACATCCCCCCCGCCGGTGGGGGAAAAGGACCTGGCAACCCTGTCCCTTCCCCCAACCCTGCCCTTCACAAGCATCCCCCCCCCAAATCTCCAGGAACCTCTCACCCTGGAGTTGGCAACCCTACTTTGAGCCCTTTCGCCAAGTTTCCTGCTTGACACAGTCCATGTGCAACTCCATAAGCATGAGGGATTCACTCCAAGTACCGTCTATATAAGCGGTCTGCCTTGCTGAGGCACCCAGAAGGTCTCAGGTTCAATCCGTGGCCTCTCAGCTGGCAGGGCTAAAACCTCAATGTTAATGTTGCATCTCTTGAATAAACCGAGGCACGAAAGTTAACAGCATCCCTCCAAAGCATTTTTACACCATCCTCTAACAGTATCATAAGTAAATTGATTGTCTGCACAGTTAATCCGTTTATTGATGTGGTATAAGCTTTGAATGCATGTTCAGTGAAGGTCGCCTGTCGATAAGCAGGTTGTTTTAATTGTCGCGACGTAGAAGTCTGATATGACATGCTTTTTCATATGGTCTTTTGAGGTGGCAGAGGCATTGAGGGACCAAAGGGCGAACCTGGATACTCAGGAAACATTGGGCTAACTGGACCGAAAGGTGTGCCAGGTGACCTTGGCCAAGAAGGACCACCAGGTAATTAAGACATTTTTCAGGTTGTTTAACAAGGAAGAATATCTGATTCATGTAAAGCTGTTCTCAGCAAACTGGTTGCTCATATTATATACCTGCCCTTTATAACACATGCCGTTGAGCGCCCGGTATTGTGTTGGACTCAGTAGTGGCTGCACATCTTACGGTGTTCCTTTTGCGAGGGCGATTTGTCTTGTGCAGCTCCTGAGACAGCCTATGAAGCACAGCTAGAGAGGGCGAAATGAACATGTTTGCACAGAACTGAGAACCGAATTGTTGTTTTTAACTTGGGATTTTAAGTAATACATGCAAAATAACGGATACGTGTAAAATTATTAGAAAATGTCGATCCTGTTCTGTAGTATAACAGTTTAAATATTTGTTCATGTTTTTTAAGGGTCACACACTAAGCACGAAATAAATCGACTGGGGACTTGATGTAATTACTCCAAGTGACAAGCTGGAGAAGATGCAGGGAAATCCTTCATAGGATCTCCCGCTTTTTCCTCCTTTGTCATTCAAAACAGCTGAGGGAGGGAGGACAAATCGAAGGAGGGGCGTGGCATTTCACCTGTACGTTTTCCCTTCAAATTGCAAGTTCCATTTGCAGAGGGAGGGGCAGTTTGAACCGGCAAAACGGCAGGTGGGACTGCTTGCCTGATCTGATTGTACCTCTTTGCAGCTCTTTTCTTTCTTCTTTTTTGGGGGGGAGGGCATAAATAAATGGACAGGAGATCCAATCACAGATGCCTTGTGTTGGTTCTACTTTGGCCAGTTTGGCGTAGTGGTTGAGTGCGTGGACTCTAATCTGGGAGAACCGGGTTTGATTCCCCGCTCCTCCACTTGCACCTGGCTGGATGACCTTGGACAAGCCATAGTTCTGATAAGAGCTGTTCTTGAAAAAGATCAGTTTCTGTCAGAGCTCTCCCAGCCCCGACTACCTCACAGGGTGTCTGTGGTGGGGAGGGGAAGGGAAAGGAGTTTGTAAGCCGCTCTGAAACACCTTTGGGTAGTGAAGGGCGGGGTATAAATCCAAACTCCTCTTCAGTTTGGTGTAGTGGTTAAGTGCGTGGACTCTAATCTGGGAGAACCGGGTTTGATTCCCCACTCTTCCACTTGCACCTGGCTGGATGACCTTGGGCAAGCCATAGTTCTGATAAGAGCTGTTCTTGAAAAAGAGCAGTTTCTGTCAGTGCTCTCCCAGCCCCGCCTACCTCACAGGGTGTCTGTGGTGGGGAGGGGAAGGGAAAGGAGTTTATAAGCCGCTCTGAGACTCCCTTCTTGGGTAGTGAAGGGTGGGGTATAAATTATTTCTTCTTCTCTACTACCACTTCATTTAAACTGGTGTTCTCTGTTCCACCCTTTCAGCCTGATGCTAGCTATGTTTACCGAGATGTAAGTGCCACAGAGTTCAGTGGGATTGGCTACTTAGTGTGCTGTAAGCATCGGCCTCTGAGAGTTTCAAGCCTATTAATGGCCAAGGGTCAACTTTAGAAGCTCAAACTTAGCGGGGTTTTTTTTGCTTGTTTGTTTAGTTGTTTGTTCCATCTGTAGGTTTCCCTGGAATCCGTGGTTCCCAAGGAAATGGAGGTTTCCCAGGCAGTCCAGGGAAGCAAGGCCCTCCAGGGTTTCCGGGGCTTCCAGGCATAGCAGGGGTAAAAGGTACGGCTTTTGTATGGTTTGTTTAATAGGGAGAAGCTGGATATTGTTGCCTGGCTGCGTTACCTATTGTAAATAAATGACGGTGTGATTTTATTACTTTTTTATTTATATCCCGCTTTTTGAAATGTCATTTGCCTCAAGGAGGCAACAAATAATGTCTAAAAAAATTGGTTTTTTTTAAATAATTTCTCTTTATTTTCAAAAACATATAAGCAATCAAAGAAAAAAAAACAAAAAAACCCCAAAACCAAAAACATATATACCTGTTGCAACGCGTATATCCGCTAACCTGAAGTGACAAAGTTGACATGTGGAATTAAGTATAAAATATGCAGTGTTTAGCCCACAGAAAATGGGCAGCCCACCTGGTTTTTGTCACTGTAAACTGAACAACAAAAGGGAACTTTTGTTCAATTGAAATTGAATCTGTCGAAGATGGAGGTCCTGTGCCTGAGCCGGGGTGGCCCCGCGGGTAGGGATCCCACTCCCGACCTTCGATAGGGCACAGCTGGCGCCAGCGCCAGAGGTTAGGAGTTTGGGAGTGCTCTTGGGTGCCTCCTTAACAATGGAGGCCCAGGTAGCAGCCACCACCAAGTCAGCCTTCTATCATCTCCGGCCAATTAGGCAGTTGGTTCCCTTCCTCGAACACGACGACTTGGCAAGATCCATGCGATGGTCACCTCGAGATTATACTACTATAACTCTCTCTACATGGTGCTGCCCTTGTCTCAAATCTGGCAGCTGGTACAAAATGCTGCGGCCAGGTTACTGATGGGTCTCCCTATCCAGCCTGTACTGAAAGCTCTGCACTGGTTGCCAATAGCATACTAGATTTGTTTCAAGGTGCTGGTTTTAACCTTTAAAGCCCTTTATGGTCAGGGTTTGACATAACTAAGAAACCGCCTTTCCCCACATGTTCCCCAGAGAGCACTGCGTTCGGGGATCCAAAATCGAGCTGGCAAGAAGACCAGTATGACTATACTGTCACCTTAAGTGGTATTGTGAATTCAAAATCCCTGCTCTCGCACTTTATTGGACTATGTTCCAGCATTTTAGGACTTTAGGATCATTTTAAATGCAATGCTGTGTTACTTTATGTCTAGGCTGTTTATGATTGTTTTAATTGTACTGATTTGTGTAAGCCACCCTGGCGGGGAAGGCGGGGTATAAATTGAATTACATAAACAAATACCCTGTTTCCCCGAAAATAAGACCTACCCCAAAAATAAGCCCTAGCAGGATTTCTATGCATTTGTAGTATAAGCCCTAGTGTGTCTTCTTGAGAGAAAATAAATATAAGACAGTGTCTTATTTTCGGGGAAACACGGTAAACTCAGCAGACAGGAGGGGGCAGCCAAAAGGGGAGGGTGTTCAAAGATATTGTGCTGCAGACACAAAACATGGGGGAGGGGGCACTGTGATCATCTGCTGGGTTCAGCTTTCTGCCGTTTCTTTCCTCAGGACACCCTGGTCCTCTCGGTTTGCATGGCCTCAATGGCTTACAAGGCACAAAGGGATCGCCCGGAACTCCAGGTAAATCAAGACATGACGCAAACCCCAGCACAAGAAACAAAATTCACCTTCTACTGAGGCCAACCCAAAAGAGACAAAACATTGCACAACTTTTCAACTTCAATAGAACACTTCTGCAGGCCAGATGGTACCAAAGTTTGGACAAGGGAAGGAAGGAAAAAGCAGACTTCCCAGCTCCCAAGACCCTGTCGTGGCAGCCCACAGGCTCAAAGACTCTAGTTTAATTTGCTGTAGATGTTAGAGAGTAGCATGTGCATTCTGGACAGAAGAAACAATGGCCACCAGTGAACCATACAGACCCTAACATTTATGTAATTCATTACATTTCATCCTGCATCTCTTCCATTATGGAATACGTGGTGGTGTCCATATGAGGTTCCCAGGCGGTCTCTCATCCAGTCCCAAGCCAGTCATAGATCTGCTTTGTTTTAGCAAGGTTGCTGCATCCTTTATTTTTTAACCGTACCCTGGGATAGATACCCGTATCCAGGGCTCATTTCCTGTTGGAGCGCACAGGAGTGAAGCTCCGGCAGTAAGGAGCCCAGGGGGCGGGCACATGCAACAAGCCCCGCCCCCTGCTCCCAGCAGCCCCCCAACCTTTCCCAGACAGACCTGCACGTTTCCCCCCCCAATAGCTAGCAATCTAAAACAGTCCAGTGGAGCCTGAGCGGTGGGTGTTGGCTTCTGACACACTTCCGGTGATGTCAGGGGGTGTGGGATATGCAAATAAGTTATGCTAATGAGTGCCTGCACCTCTTTTTCTATTAAATGGCCCCTGCCCGTATCTATATTGTGGTATCTTTGGATGCACTTGCCCTCTTCTCTCCTGTGTACTTGGGAATATTCTACTTTAGCCCCTAAGGAATTTCATCCACCCCAGCCGTTTGTAGTTTATTTACATCACCTTATCTGGCCAGCCATTTTTAAGTGCTAGACCCATTGCTTCTACATGTGATCAGATGGATCACTGGAAAATATAATGTAATTAAACTATGTGTGGTTGGTGGATCATCTGAACTCAGACCTCTGACTATAGCTAGTATGGCTCCCTGACACCAGGATCTGAAATCAGGAGGCCTTGGTTGGGTATTCTCACCTGTGATTTTGTTTTATGTAGGAACAGGGAATCCTAGCTTCCCACTTCTCATATTCCCCAGTCTCCAGGGATCCTGGCAAGAGCTGTTCAGAATCAAAACCACTCTTGTGTTTCCAATTGCGCCTCACTGTCTGGTCGTAAAATTGCAGCAGCCCTGATGTGCTCCATCCCAGGAACCAGGCAAAAAGTGTTTCATTGCCACAAGCGCTGCCCACCTTCCTACTGTGTCTCCCCTGCTAGTCAGACAAACTCCAAAGGCATCTTCTTGGCAGCCCACCCTTGGAGCCAAGGCGGGTGGCAGAAGAGTACAGGGCAATACTTACAAAGCACACCTCTCCCTAGACCTGCCTCACCCACTATTGGGTGCAAACTGAGCTTCAGCGGCAGAGCATGGAAGAAGGATGCCAGTTGTGGGGGGAAACTTGGGAAGGGGGTGTCCCTTGTCAACTTGAAATTTTGGGCGAGATTGTGCATGTGTGCCATTTTATAAAGAAAGTTACAAGAGGGTACCCACGTTGGTAGAACAGTTGGGTTTGAGTCCAGTAGCACCTTTGAGACCAACTAGAGTTTCAGGGCATAACTGTTCAAGAGTCAAAGCTCCCTTCGTCAGACACGAGTCAGAATGGAGATTTGAGTCTTTTTATCCCAGTCAGAGGAGCTGCGGTGGCTCAAGTGGTTAAGACGCTGAACTGCAGGCTGTGGAAGGTCAGTAGTTCAGCAGTTCGAGACCCGGGTTGCCGCATGACGGAGTGAGCTCCCGTCTCTAGTTCCAGCTCCTGCCAGCCTAGCAGTTCGAAAGCAAGAAATTGCAAGGAGATAAATAGGGACCACTTCGGTGGGAAGGTAACAGCGTTCCGTGCGCCTTGGTGTTTAGTCATGTTTAGTCATGCCGGCCACATGACCACGGAAACGTCTTCGGACAGCGCTGGCTCTTCGGCTTTGAAATGGAGATGAGCACCGCAACCCTAGAGTCGGATTCGACTGGCTTTCGAGCAAGGGAACCTTTACCTTTACTTTATCACAGTCAGAAAGTGGGAGCGAGGTTGTCAAAAGTTCTTGTAAAGGACGCAAAGGTACCATGCATCCTCCAGAAGCATTCTTTACGACAGCCATCCCACCTTCTGACTGGGATAAAAAGACGCCGATCTCCATTTCCACTTGTGTCTGATGAAGGGAGCTTTGACTCACAGAAGCGTATTCCCTGATGTTGTGAGGGCCGCAGGAATCAACAGCTTTCAAAGGGGATTAGATAGATTCGTGGAGGATAAGTCTCTCAATGGCCACTAGCCATGGTGGCTGAGGGGAACCTCCACATCCAGAGGCACTAAGCCTCTGAATCCAGAGCCAGGAGGCAACATCAGGGGAACGCCTCGGCCTCTCTGCCCTGTTGTTGGCTGTCCAGAGGAGCTGGTTGGCCACTGTGTGAGACGGGATGCTGGACCAGATGGACTGTTGGTCTGATCCAGCAGGGCTCCTCTTATGTTCTAAACTCTTGTTGGTCTATAGGGTGCTAGTGGACATGAATCTGTTTATAAAGGAAGTGATTGTAGGGTGGGTATCAGGCCCGTAGCTAATGTGGGGCCCACAGGGCCGGGCCCCCTCCTTTCCAGGCTGGCCCCAAATTGAATTAATGTTATTAGCTTTGATTTAATTAGCTGTACTCCCCAAGGCCCCCTCCCCCCAAAATCCCTAGCTGCAGGGCTGGTGGGTATGCACCAGTGGTTGCTCTCTATGCTCACAGATTTCACCTTCGGTTACCTCGCAGTGTCACCTGCTGTTGATCAGTGGGTTGGCAAAGCAGGCGAAATTTTTCCCTTCAACTGGTACTGCAGTGCAGGCCAGGATAGCAGCCAGGTTTTTTAACATACGGCAGCCAACCTGCCACCTGGATTGAGCTGTGGAGAGCTAGTTTGGTGTAGTGGTTAAGTGTGCCGACTCTAATCTGGGAGAACCGGGTTTGAGTCCCCACTCCTCCACTTGCACCTGCTGATGTGACCTTGGGTCAGTCACAAGCTCTGGCACAGCTGTCCTTGAAAAAGAGCAGTTTGTGTCAGAGCTCTCTCAGCCCCACCCACCTCACAGGGTGTCTGTTGTGGAGAGGGGAAGGGAAAGGAGTTTGTAAGCCGCTCTGAGACTCCTTTGGGTAGTGAAGGGCGGGGTATAAATCCAATCTCTTCTTCTTCTTCCTCTTCTTGCAAAAGAGCTGTTCTGAGAGCTCTCTCAGCCCCGCCTACCTCCCAGGGTGTCTGTCATGGGGAGGGGCAGGGAAAGGAGCTTGTAAGCCGCCCTGAGACTCCAAGTGAAGGGCGGGGTATAAATCCCATCTCTTCTTCTTCTCTCTTCTTCTTCTGTGAGCAAAAATCCTACTTTGTGATCTCCTGGCATTGAAGTTGTGAGCGGGCGATTTGGCTGCTGCATCAATCAGTTTGCTCTGGAGCCCCATCCCTTCCTGAGCTAAGAGGGAACACTGACCAGGATCCTGGTCTCACAAATTAAATAAACCCTCGTTGCACACTGATGTGTGAACCAAACCTGTGAGTGATGTACTAGCCTGGTACGGCATCCTGTGTTCCTTTTGGAGAAAAGGGGTGTGGTAGATCCAATCCCCGGCATCCAGATTCAATCCAAATTCAGTCCCTGGTAAGTTCTCAGGTTGCCGGCGTTAGGAACGACTTGCGTCCCACTCTGGAGAGCCGTGGGCAGGACAGAGCTAAATGGACCCAGGTTATGACTCGGTATAAGGCGGCTTCGTGTGTTCGTATCCATGTTCATGCGTTCCCGGCTGATTTCTTTAAAGGCCTCCACTTTTTTTATTAGGGCCAAGTGAAATTGGACTTCCAGGCACTGCTGGACCTCCGGGTATCAAAGGTGAACAAGGTGCCCCAGGTTTTCAGGCTGGAGGCCCAGGGCTTCCCGGACTGAAAGGCGTTGCGGGAGACGCTGGTAAGTAACAGCGACAATAAGAGGGGGTGGTGGTGGAATTTTTGCTGAAGGCTGGTATTAAAGATTGCCGATTGATGCAAAGTACACAAAGAAGCATACGGTGTTCAAAAATCTGTATTTTGCTCAGGACTTTTTATACATACACACATACATACATAGACCTTTATCGGCATAACACAGGAACAATAAGGAAAGCAATGGAACAAATAAATTAATAGAACGAATTAATAGATCATAACAAGTTACGTCAAGTTACACCAACAGGGGATCATTTTTAAACTTCTCAAGAATAGTGAACAATCCAATAACAATCCAAATGAGCGCAAGGGGGATTAAGACTGATATGCCCTTACCCTTAGCTTCCAAACATAAGCTAAGAATTCAGCAACAGACAGGGTCATTGCCGAGAACTTATCAGGCAATAGAATTTTAAGATCATTGTCAGTCGAATTCCTTGTGGAGGACTTTTTATCCCTTTTGAATGTCATTGGTATCATACGCAATTGCGATCTATGAATTCTGAATCATTTCAACTTCAACTCTGTCATTTGGATCCTCAGTATAAAGTTTCGTGTTCTGACTTTCACTGGTTTGTTTGATACTTTCGGGGTTGGGTCAGGGCTCACCTCTGCCACAGATTCACTAGAAGGCCTTATGTGAGCACCACCTCTCAGCCTCACTCACTCCCCCCCCCCGTTCAATATGAAGTTTTAAAATAAAAAAACAGGGTTTTTTATAAGAATTCCAAGAAAACTTTGGAACTCCCTCCCCCAGGGAGATTCGTCTGCCTCTCTCCATCATCTCCCTCCAGGGGGTGGTGACTTTTTGTTTTGTTTGGCAAACCCCCCAATAACTGTTGCTGGCCTCCTCCCTGTTTTTGGTGCTACACGTGTTTGTGTGTTTATATATTTTTATTGGATTATTTTAATTTATTCTTTATTTTAAATGCTGTCTTAAGGTTGAAATGTTTTGATGTTCGCCATCCCGGGGACCCTATTTGGGTAGAAAGGCAGCACAGAAATGTTTTAAATAAATAAAATTACAAGAAAACAATGCGTCTGAAGAGCTTTCAGCACTCAGGAGTAGAGATGTGAAGGCCCGGAAAAATTTGGGAAAAAAACGTTTTTTTCCGATTTTTTTCCTGAAGCCTTTTTTGTTTTTTTCTGAAAAATTTGAAAAATTGAAAAAAGAAAAGAAAAGAAAAAAAAATGATTATGGAATGTTTTATTTTAACATGATGAATAAAATATTTTTAGACAAGGTGTTCAAATATTTTCCAAATCATTTCATATATATATGTGATATAGATTGATCTAATTTCTGTGCACTGAGGACAAGCAAGTCCTAGGTTAAAAACTGAACTCTCCAATGCAAGAACAAGATGCATTTCTTCCTTTAGGAGGTGCGATTGTCAGAAGAAAATAAAAAAGTTTCAGTTTTGTTTTTGCATGTGGGCGGGTGTTCTGTTGGTAATAACTGTTTGGATACACTATATTTTTAGTATGCTAGTTGTGATAATTTATGCCAAGTTAAAATGTCCATAGTCATATTTTATGTTCCTAAAGTAACAGAATGACTTTCAATCTAGAAAAGACAAATTGTAGCATTTTTTTCAATTTTTCTGAAAATTTCCGTTCTTCCCCGGAAAAAACTGGGGAAAAAATGGGTTTTTTTCCGAGCTTCAAAATTTCCGGAAATTTTACATCTCTACTCAGGAGTGCTGTATATCAACTCACTGGTTGTGTTACGTTTGATCCTGGATTTGCTCCCTAGATCCTACTGGCAGGTGATATTTCGGGGAGGAGGGACTGATGGATCACCCTCACGGTAGCCACCCTTTGGCCCCAAGCTGGTTCCTAAGTGTGTGTAGCTCCTCTGGCTTCTCTGTTCTTGAACTTGCCTGCTGAGTGTCTCTGAACCGTCTCTTTCGAAAAGTTCTGGGTTTGGCTGAACGAGAACATTTTGGCTGCCGTGGTGTAACCACGGCAGCCCACGGACACGTGCAGGGCAGCATTCGATGCCAGAGTTAACAACTGCTGAATCACGCATGTGTGAACTATCCTCTTACCCCTGTCATGGTGCATGTCTCTGTCTGCAGCACGCCAGAAAGCGGACAGCCGTAAGCACCGTTGGCCTGTTAACATCAGTTGGCAGAATCTTGCTTCAGTGACACGCCACTGAATTGGTTGAAGGGACCAGACACTGCCCCCCCCCCCATGAAATTGAACCCCTTTTTCTTCAAGGCAGCTTAGTCAGCCTTCTGCTCCACTCTGAGCAATCTAGACGCTGCTTTTCCACCAGCAGAGATCAGGCACACTGT